ACCCATCTTTAAAAAAAAAAAAAAAAAAAGGGTTCCCCGCTTTACACCAGAACCCCAAAATCACATAATAATCCCCCTTTTACATCAGAGTCCTCCTCATTCACATCAGAATCCCCCTCTTTCATATCAAGAGCCCTCTTCACATCAGAGGCATGTCGCTGTGTGAAAGATTTAAGGCACCCCTGAGGAAGCCTGAAGGTGCCCAAGAGTGCAATGGCACCCTGGTTGAGCAAGGCTATTTTATACTTGTATAATTGTGGGTCAGCTCAGTACAGGTGAGGTAACACATCGTGAGCATGAACTTAGAACAAAGGTGACATTTATACCATAATCTTTTTTTGGCAAGAGCTTCCCATTATTATTTTGCAGCGTGTTGTTAACATTTTTTTGCAACCAAAACACTTCTTTTTTTTTTTTTTTACTTTTTAATTGAGTCAGAAGAATTAGATTCTTTGTCGTGCTTTTTCCTGTTATCTTGGGAAGATTTCCCCCTGCTTCCTGTTCTAGCAAGTGTTGTAATAAGGACAGGAAATAAGAGGGAATAAAATTTTATCTCTGTGTTGCTGTAGGAGAGATCCCCCCTGTTCCAATACCTGCCAACGGTTCTGCAGGACTGTCCTGGAATTTTAACAAAAGCACCCAAATTTTAAGGAAAGGAATGTTGCAATGAGAGACTCTAAAAACTGCTTAATTTTAAACTGAAAACATTCTGATGTGTTAGATTGTGAATGTTATGAACATTTGCAGTTAATGGTATTAAATTAAGGTTACTTGAAATTGAAGCAAAACATAAAATAAACATTCAATATTAATAAATAAAAAATTATTTCTAGTTTTTTTTCAGCTCGTTCTGTAGCTATGAGGGGCTGTGAGGGGTGAGGTGTCTAAGGTGGCTTGTCCATATATGTTAATGAAGCGTATCAGATAAACACAAACCTCACATTTCAGTCCCAAGTCTTTACATTAGGACAGATCACTGTGAAAGGGCTAAAAAAAAAACTGGAATCAGCCATCTTGCCTGCTTTAACAAAGCATTTAACCCTTTCGCTGCCAAGGACGTATGGCATACGGACCTACAAAAGTGCTTCCAGAATTTTCTCAAAAGTAGAAATACACTTTAATGTATGACATGGAGGGTTTTAATTTGGTAGCAAATTTGGATACATATATTTTTATTTCTTTGGTTTTTATTGGGAATAAATAGTACAGAAATTAGAAATATTATTAGAAATAAATGCACTTTTCTCAAATTTTCCCAGTGTAACAATTAGGGAA